ACACACACACACACACACACACACACACACACACACACTCAGTCTCTCTCTCTCTCGCTCTCTCTCACTCCATCGCTCTCTCTCTCTTGGGATGTGGTGTACCCATTCTTTCCAGTGCAGCACTTCTCAGCTGTAATATATGAATAGTGATGGTTCAGAGTTTAGACTGACCTCATGCAGACCTGCCAATCCTTACGATTTTTTTGTATTCCTTACGAATTCTATGATGTTTCTACGAATGTACGATCAAACTGAAAAACGATTTTTTACGATTTGTGAAAATTAATATTTTTTACATTGTGAGCCGAGAAATATCTGGCGATTTTGGGCGCAGCCATATTGGATCACGTGTTCACGTTGTTCTCGCGTGATCTAGAGTTAGTCCCATCATTCATTGCGCGCATAACATACAAACAAAATGGCCGCCTGCTGCAAGAAAATAAAAGCCTTACTATTTTCTTGAATCACAGGTTGGCAGGTTTGCCTCATGTAGTAACACTGTCAGTGGCTGTGACGCTGTGTACACGTGCCTGGCTAGCGCGGCATTGATTGATGTACATGGGGGGGGGGAGTGCGTGATTGTTTGGGGGCATGTTCATTATAGAATATGTAGGGGGTAGCCACTGCTGTGATCAGAGGACGGCAGCAACATAGTGTATGCGGTACACCATAGCGGTAATGCTATCCCCCCCCCCCGGGCGTGGAGGGAGGTGACCGTAACGTGGCAGCACTAGTGTTGGGATAGTGTTGGGATAGTGTTAGGATTAGGGTTAGGGTCAGAGTTAGGATTAGGGTTAGGGTTAAGGTTTTTGCATCATGATATCTGTCCCCACACCATAGATTAATTTTTGTGAATCACAATGCCTATATATAGCGCGGCGAGACATATATATTTAGTGTGAGGGTTAGTGTTGGCGGTGTTGGAGTGAGGGTTACCGTTAGGGTTAACGTTTTGAACGTCATCGTCAACGTTATAACGTGACCTCCCTCCACGCCCGGGGGATAGCAACACCCCACTATAGCGATGTTTCATGTTTAGAAACATTGACGTCATATGCGCACATGCGCAGTTTAACGGTTGGCAGCAAGCAGAAGCGTGATATTGTTCGATACAAGCACACGCACGCACGCACGCACGCATGCACGTGTACGTACGCACGCACGCACGTCTACGTGCACATGCATGCACGCACGCACGCACGCACGTGTACCTGCACACACACTCACGTACGCACGCACGCACACGTGCACACACGTGTACCTGCGCACGCACGCACGCACGCACACATGCACACACGTGTACCTGCGCACGCACGCACGCACGCACGTGTACCTGCACACGCGTGCACACACGCACGCACGAACGTGTACCTGCACGCGCGCACGCACGCACACACTCATGCACGCATGCACGCACGTCTACGTGCGCATGCACGCACGCATTCACACACACGCACGCACGCATGCACGCACGTGTAAGTTCACACGCACGACGCACGCACTAACCTGCACCAGTTTAATGTACGAGGTATAAATTGTAACTAAATTCATGAATGTCATAAGCTAAACTGTATTTTCTTACCTCACACAGTGAGTCATGGTTCCGGAATACTAGCAACCAGTCCTCAGGACCAGGCACTCCTCTTGAAATGAATTTTTTAGCATTCTTGTTAACCACCTCAAGAACGAAATCCGGTCCCTCGCCGGCGTAAACATCTCCACTTGTCGAAATTGACTCGGCTAGCTCAAGTTGGTTATTCACACTATCTGGATACAAACTTCGGTGATAGGAATCCGTGACATCTATTAGTTGGTATTTCGGGTGATTTCGTGTGAAGAAAATCGGCGAGAATTCTTGCTTTCCACACAGAAGATAATCAGCATTGTTTCTGCGAATTCCACCTCTGTAGTTAAATATGGCTTGTAAGTAGGTTAATTGTTCGAACATATATTGGTACTTTGGGTCTTTCACTGAATGACAAATATAGTTGCTTATATAGTCCTCAACTGTTGGAGCCTTATGCGAAGTCAAGCAATCTAAAACGTATGGACGAACTAGCTCATCTGTTATTGCATCTCTGGCAATGTTTAAAAAGTCCCATGTCTTGTGGTTGTCATGGCAACTCTTTGCATACTTCAGGGCTGCTGGTGATTTAAATCCCATACATTTTGCAAGCTCATCAAAAAACACGTCCCAGTTCAATTCAACAAAGGCCTTCTTCATGTTCATTTCATAGTGGCCAGGGCCAATTCGAGGCACGACCCAATCAAATTCCTGCATTCTTGGAATTTCTTTGTTTTCATGTTTTTCACTGCAATGTTTTGTGAAATCTTCTTGGGGGAAAAATCCAACCTCACACTCAGTGCAGTATAACGTGTTGAATATCAGATTTATGATAATGTAGTATGGAAGGCCATCCATGTACACGGTAATCCACTCTCTGCTTCCTGTACCATACCTCTTGATGCCACATCTAGACCCAATTGTTCGCAACACGTTTAGCAAGGATTGGAATGAGTTAGGGTTACACATAACCGGATCAGCTACAACTACTTTGGGCGGCGGTTGTGGGTGAAAATGAGGTACATGTTGATGTACGTTTATTTCATCTGTCATCACTGTGCTTGCTGACAGCTGTCCAGCATGTTCTTGACGAGAAACCTTTACATAACATTCTTTATGTTTGAAATGCTTTTGTGACGTGTGAGGCTCTTCTTGTGCCATTACATGCAGTTTCTCCTTGCACCCTGGGTTGTCGCATGTTCGCTTAGATTGTTTGTACTGCTTGTGACATTTCGGGCAAAATTTTGTATATTTTGCTTGTTCCTGCTTTGCTAGCATTACATCGATGTCGTCTTTCCATGTGGACACGCCTGCAAATTGTTCATGCCAGACTTTTGTGATTCTTGTTGCAGTGTAGCGGTAGAGTTCTCCACAAGCAAGTTCTTTTCTTTGTCGTTCTTTTATGTGTAGAGCAGTTTCAACATCTGCACGTAGAACTGATTTCGGGATGTATTGCTGTGGTCGGAGTGAAGCTTCGGTTTGATATCCACAATCAACAGGAAACGTTATGTATATTAGTGATGTCACTACACTAACTGCTTGTTTTTGGAAAGCACGCACATGCCACGATTTGCCCACTATCTGTTCATTGTCAAAGACAACGTAAATGTCACCAGGAGGACATGGTATAGGTTGAGTGTTTTGCGTACTGAGCCAGTCCCTAATGGTCCAGTAACTTCCTGATGCACCATACGTTCCAAGGTCACATCCAATGCGACTGTTGGTGACAGAATACAACAGAACTGTTTCCGCAAACCCTACTTCCGAAATGTATTTACGGTTTCGAGCCTTGTAAACACAATCAGCCGCGCGTACTTTGGAGTAGAGCTGTCTTGAATCTGTTTCCAATTCTTTGCTGTGTGTGGTTATTCCATCAATGAAGGATGTCAGCACAGTGTCTCTCTGACTATAGAGATGCTCCAAATCAGTATTGCACAATTTGTCGTAATCTCTGTGCTGCCCGACTTTCGTCACCGAGTCATCCCACACAGCGTTGGAAGCACATTCACCAATTGCTTTAGCTATGTCGGCGAGATCTTGATGACTACATGCTTTGATATGGTTAATGACCGACTGTTTATCTGTAATTGTCGAACGCAAGCCAGAAGTCGACGGTACCGGCAACGATGAATCACTGTCCGTGTATGTCGAATCTGCACCTATTATAAATATATAAATAAGTGTTAATAATAATGTAGCAAACCCGTTTGTCTCACCATTATACGACATTTCACTTTCAGGGTTTTCGCCAGGGGGTAGGAGGAAGAGGGGGGTCAGTCTCCCCCCTAAATAGCATCTAGTGGGATACCCCCTACTAAAAGTTGCAATCTGATTTAAAACTCTACATTTTAGTTGATGAATGACAGACCAAAGGCAGAGTATGGTCACACCACACGCTAGCTCTAGAACAATAGCCACAGGTAGAGCGACGGGCTATAGTTCTAGAGCTAGTCACACGCACACCGCTGCGCATTTACGCTTATGTATATATTATAATATATTATATATATAATATGGCATAATTAACACATGGTAACAATTTATTGTTACCGTGGGTGATTAAATGGCAAAATTTCCGAACACAGTGATGTATATGAGTTATGGTAACAATTTTAAGTAACTGTGGCAAATATGAGACAGTAGTTATAACATAATTACAGGATAGACTCCTGATCATTATAATGGCATGATTAATACATTTACAGTAATTTTTCCCAAATTACTGAATTATTTAAGTATCTGAGTTAGATTGGCAATGGTAACAATTTATGGTGACTGTGACAACTAACCGATATGGCAGCTGATAGTTTGGTATCAATTTAAAGTAACTGTGGTTTTGTTAATGTGCTGGTGTTTACCAAGATTTACCACTCACCATACTTGATGTGGTATATAATGAGCTGGTACAGTTCATAACTAACATATGCTAGTAGTGCACACCTGTGCAGGAAAGAAGATAGCTCAACAAGGTTACTGTACACTGTTACCAGTAACAATTTACTGTAACTGAAATCACGGTTACTATTTTCTACAACCTCCTGGACTGCTCTCTTCAAGCACTTTAGCTCTCTCTCACACGCTCTCACCTCTCGCGCGTGTCGCTTCTCTTTTTTATTATATTATTATATTACTTTCTTATGTCTTTGCTTCTCGTTTCTCATCTTCCATTTGTAAAGAAAAACATAATAGCATAAATTTTTACATGATTAGAAAAGCAGACGGATGACATGAAACGAATCGAACTTTGCTATCAAACATAATGAATAATTAATCTAACCGTACATGAAACTTAACGAATCTAAAACATACTGAAATATAAATGGTAAACCCAACGCTAGCCCACGGTCCCCGCGCACAAACACATACCCTCCCTCCAATCCCTCTCACTCCCTCACTCGCCAACGGGAAAGGGGCAGCACACCCAATGACTCTCTCTGTCACCAGTATTCTGGTATTTTACTAAAAACCTACAGAGCCAACGAACATCTCGCCAGAAACCTCTGACACGCCCCCTTTTTATTGATTGACGCCCACCTGTGCCCACTGTCTGCGCTAACCTGCCCGGCGCCTAATGTCTGCGCTAACCTGCGCGCAACTGTTGCGCTAACCTGCGCCCACTGTCTCCGCCAACCTGCGCTCACTGTCTACGCCAACCTCCATCAGGAAATCAAGGGTCTATAAGGAACTGCGTCCTGTTCAGACGGCCTACCTCTGCTACAACCGTCTAACGTGTAACATTACGTGTCACAGGCCTCAGGCA